AGGGACAGTAGGAGAGAGTGGAGACCCCAGCAGCAATACAGCTGGTCTGCATATCAATCACCGGCGCGTGAAACACACGCGTCCAACTCAAAGGCGCGTGGGTAAGTCAGTGTCCCAATGGGGTTGTGTCAGACAGAGAACGTGCAATGCAACCATCTTTTGTTATTTTTTTAAATGCTTTTGAAAACCTGTTTATGTACAAATCTCTAATCTCTCTCTCTTCTTCTTGTTCCACTCGTGAAGACCAGAGAGTTGTTTAGTTTCTCTTTCTCCTGATCCATACACAAACACACAGAGATCCCAAATCTGGAAGGAAACTAACTCTCTTCATAAAACTCAGATCCTCTCTTAAAAGTACGTGCATATTCTCTCTCTCTCTTTATATACAGAGAGTAAAATTGAGATTTTTCATAATAAAATCTTTAGATGATGATGACATCTTTCTTCATATATGCCCCAAAGGAGCAGTAACAGTCAGTCACCTGCAGAAACTCACTCTCCCCTACTAATAATGTTCTCTACACAGATTCTTGTGTTGATCATTTTGACTTTTTCAGGTAATTTTATTTTTGTAATTAACGTTACTAAAAACATAGAAAGATAGGATTTTTTTTTTTCTTTCTTTTCCAATTTCCATGTAAAATTATCGGCATGCAAAACTTTTATTCTACTTTTGTCCTTAAAAAGCTTTTTTACCTTTCCCGTTTTTTCTCCAACTCTTTTTCTTAAAGTGTTAAGATTTTTTCTTGTTTCTTCTTGCTCTTATAGTTGTAACTTATAAGCACGCGAGAAGAAAAATAAAATTAACTTTTATATTATTTTTTCCTTTTGTAAAAGTTTTTTGTTCTTTGGTGGTTGTTTCGCAGGAATCAGAGCTGATAAATTATTGTCAAGTTAGTAGTAATAATATTATTATTACTATATAGATAGGTTTTGAAATTCGTATTTGAGAAATCCCAAAAAAAAAAAAAAACATTAACCCTTAAACTAAAATCCAACACAAGAAAGCAGAGACCTCTTAACGAGAACAACCTCTCTGTACACAAGACAACAAACACTCTCTCTACAAAAGCACCACTCCTCTACTTCCTTCTTCTCTCTACTAATCCTAATACA